TTCTTGTCTTTTTCTTTTTTTGTGAGTGCCACAGACAGTGTATGTTGATTTTAGATGATTTCTGTCACTTTCAGCTGAAAGAGTTCAGACCAATTCATCCCCATGGGCAGAATCAGGGACACCCTCCTGGACACCCAGATCCTCTGGTGCCACCCTTACCACTGCAATCATCACAAAAAACTGCACCAGAAATAGGTACCCTGCCCCTGATTTTTTTGTGATGATATCACACTTTGGCTTACCTCCTCCCTTCTGTCTTGAAATTTGATGTAGATCATGTTCATTTCCACATCCAGAGTACTTGCCTAAAAGAGGTATTCAGTGAATAATGGTATAATGAATAAATAAAAGAATGAATGAATGAACATATGAGTGTCTTCTAGTTGGTCAGGAGACTTTAATAGAGTGAGAAAAGAGAGTTGTTTCTCCAGAGACCTACCTGCTATGAGATCTAAGTTATACTAAAGTCCTCTCTGAACTGACAAAGGATTGTTATTTTTAAATCTCTCTTCACCCAGACCACAGCTGAACCGGCCACACCCATGGGATACAAACCAATCTCCCGTTACAGAAAAACAAATCTGACCCAGCCATTCTCCGCTTAAAACAACTTTCAGTGACGTTTTTGACAGGAGTGGGTGGAAGGGAGTGAGCATTTGGATTCAGAGAACATTCCGTGTTAAAGAATATTCATTTGCTTATTGACTGACTCATTAGGCAAGCAATGAATTAGCACCTACTATGTGCGGGCACTATACGTTACTCCATCCTCACAGCAATCTCTTTCTTAGGGCAATGTATTTGTTATCTGTTACTGCCTAACCCATTACCCTAAACCTAGGGGCTAAAACAACAAACATTTGTTATCGCACAGGAATCCAGGTGCAGTCAAGCTGTGGGCCAGGGCCGCGGTCACGTCAAGGCTCCACTGGAGCAGAAGGATCCATTTCCAAATTCATTCACAGGGTTGTTGTGAGGCCTTAGTTCAAGCTTGTCCAACCTGTGGTCTGCAGGCCGCCTGTGGCCCACGATGGCTTTGAATGAGTCTCAGGACGGTTTTGAATCTGGCCCAACACAAATTCTTAAACTTTCTTAAAACATTATGAGATTTTTTGTGTGATTTTTATTATTATTATTATTATTTTAGCTCATCAGCTATTGTTCTTGTTAGTGTATTTTATATGTGGCCCAAGGCAATTTTTTCTTCTTCCAGTGTGGCCAGGGAAGCCAAAAGGTTGGATACCCCTGCCTTAGAAGAATCATGGGCAAACTCACTCACAGGGGCTTTTCCTTAGGACTGCCTCACAGCACGGAAGCCAGCTTCTCCAGGACGACTGATCCAAGAGGCTGCAAGAGAGTGTCCAAGACAGAAGTCACCATCTCTTGGCAACCTAATCTCAGAAGCAACATGCTCATCCCTTCTGCCATATTTTGTGCATTAGAAATGAGTCATTAAGTCCAGCCTGCACTTGAAGGGAGGAAATTACATAAGGGTATGAATACCAAGAGAGGGGTTAATTGGGGCAATTTCAGAGGCTACTTGCCACAGGTAAGGTATTATTATCCTTCGTTTCATACCTAGACACCCGGCTAGTTAAGCAGCTGGTCCAGGTCACCCAGCAGACAGCGATCTGAGTCCGAAGTGGTTTTCTATTTCCCCAGGCTGGTAGGGGTGTGAGATGGAGGAAGGCAGGGAGAAGTTACTGACAGGAAAAAAAAAATGAGGATGAAGTCTCTGCTATTTATCTAACTAGCTAAATTAATAACTCTGTTATTTATCTAACTATTATCTTTAGCTATGTAATTAATTACCAACAACTTAATTGCTTAAAACAAACATTTATTATCTTATAGCTTCTGTGGATCAGGAATTCGGTGACAGCTGAGCTGAGTGGTTCTCAGGGTCTCCTACGAGGCTGTGGGTAAGCTGTGGGCTGGGGGATGCTGCTTTGAAGACCTAACCAGGGCTGAGGCTCTACTTCCAAGAGAGCCCATTCACATAGCTGTTGGTGGGAGGCTTCCTTCTTCACCACGAAGACACCTTTATAATCATGCATGAGCTTCTTTAGGACAGGGCTTCCCCCAGAACAGGTGATTCAAGAGCAGGTAAGCAAAGCCTGAGTGTCTTTTGTGACGTAGCCTCAGGAGTCATAACTGTTATTTCTGCAACATCCTGTTGATTACACAGGATAGGTCAGCCCTATTCTTTGTGGGAGGTGATCACAGAAGTGCATGGGAATACCAGGAGATCAGGATCACTGGAGGTTGGCTATTTACCACAGGATTCCACAAGGTTGATAATCTGAAAACTTAACTTTTATCGCTGCTTCCCTGCTCAAAGAGACCCAGAGCCTTCCCACGTACTGCAGCACACAATCTGATTTTCTTAGCTCCATCTCCCACTGGCTCCTGAGTGGATGGACTGCCTGTGACTGACAGCCTGGTCTGCTCACAGACCTCACCAGTCCCACAGCCAAGGCCCTTGTTGATACCTCCCCCCCAATCTCTGTTCTGTGGGAAGGCCTGGCTCCCCGGGAAGCCTCCACTCAGCATTCAAAGCATAGTTAGTTCACCCCCAGCATCTGCAGGCTCTGGCTGGATGCTAGGATGTGATGGTGATACCACCTTCTCTCAGGGAACTTTCGCTCAGATGGAGAGGCAGTTCCCAGCGAATTAATAATAAACGAATCACACATCATGCCAAGCTCTCCCAGGGAAACCTACAGGGTACCATGGGATTATATAATGGGGGACTGGCCTAGCCCATGAGCACTGGAGCAGTCAAGTAGCCAACCAGGCTGCATAGGAGTATCAGCATTGGGTTTAGTGTTAAGTGTCTGAAAATGCAAAATAACCATAGCTTAAGTAAGACAGATGTTTATTTCTCTTGGGCAGGTGTTTGAGGTGCCACTCAGAGACAGGAACTCAGGTTCTTTCTGTCTCGTTGCTCTGCTGTGTGGTCTCTATCTTATGGTCCAGGATGATGACACCTACATTCCTGGCAGCCAGATGGGGAAAAGGACACAGAGGGTAAAGCAGACATACCAACTATCCCAGACTATGAAATGAGTGGAAAAGTGAAGGAGTCTGATTGATTTGACTTGTTTTCACAAGCATTAATGGAAGCATTAAATTGATGTGTATGAGTGCAACAGAATCTGTTGTAATTTCTCTTTAAATAAAGCTGCCTTTGGGGAAAACAAGACACTGCCCTTCACTTTTCAATGCCACCTCTAGCTACAAAGGAAGCTGGGAAATGTAACTTTCTTTTTTTGTTTTGAGACGGTGTTTCACTCTTACTGCCCAGGCTGGAGTGCAGTGGCACGATCTTCGCTCACTGCAACCTCCACCTCCCGGGTTCAAGCGATCCTCCTGCCTCAGCCTCCTGAGTAGCTGGAATTACAGGCACGCGCCACCATGCCCAGCTAATTTTTTGTATTTTTAGTAGAGACGGGGTTTCACCATGTTGACCAGGATGGTCTCGATCTCTTGACCTCGTGATCCACCCGCCTCGGCCTCCCAAAGTGCTGGGATTACAGGCTTGAGCCACCGCGCCCGGCCAGAAATGCAATTTTCATTGCTAGCACCCACATGCCCAGCCAAAAGTTGGGAGCTCCATCCCCACTCAGAAACAGCAATGATAGTCAACCCTGTCTTGCACTTACTCTGTGCCAGGCATTTGCTGACCTTGGAGATCATCCCAAATACACACTTGATTCAGTAGGTCTGGGCTGGGGACAAGAGTCTGTCCTGTGATGGCCATGTGGCTGGTCTGTGGGTCATATTTTGAGGAGGGAGGATGAGAGGTCAAAGGTCCATCATTGCATGGTTTTCTCCCACACAGGGCCAAGGAAAGGGCATTTGGAAGCAAGGGTGCTCAAAGCCCCGGAACTCTCTCTGCTGACCCCAGGTTTCCAGTTCAGGCTGAGATTTCCTTCTCTCCCCCAAAAGTATCAGACTACTTGTTGAGTGAGTCAGTGAGTGAATGAATGAATGAATGGAAAGGGAATGAAAGAATGAATGAATGGAAAAGGAATGCAGAGGTCAGGTCGGGCATATGCTCCAGGGAACGGGTTTGGTTCACCACGCCACTCTACCCCAGGCCCGGTGCTGGTGCTGTCGCTTCCGAATCCTCCCAGAGAAACAAGCACTGCAGTTCCCGTCTATTTACACAGGAAGAAACTGTCCACTGGCTCTGCTTTTTGAACCCCAGCCCTCATCATCCTCTGCTGGGTTTTCTCAAGGCCTGTGTCACCACAGCGTTGGAGAAGGGGCCAGTGACAGAGCCTGGGGGAAGTTCAGGGAAGTTCAGAGTGAGTTTCCCCTACTCAGGTCTTGTGTGACCTCAACTACCATCTCCTCGAATCCAGCAGTTACGGAGGCAGCTGCTCCGTATCGCTGAGGAGGAAACTGAGGCTCAAAGAAGGGGACAGTTGGCATAGTCCACCTTGCCCAAGTCACAGTGCAGGCCCCATCTGCCTCTGCGACAACCCAGCATGTGCTGGATGGACCTGGCTGGGGGCAGGCGCTCTGTGAATACGCACCAGAGTGAACCGCAGGGCAGATGGAAGCAAGGACGGCCCCCATCAGCCTCGATGGCTTCAGGTGCTGCCACCGTGCTAAGCCAGTCTCCTGTTTCTCAGCTGGAGAAAACCTCCCTCGAGTAGGTATGGTCGTCCTCTTTGTGCAGATGTGCAAAGGGGTGGGTGGCTCCAAGAAGCCCAGTGGCTTTCCCAGAGAGGCACAGCAGAGGTGGAGGTGGTCACCTTGTCAGGTGTAGGACTCCCTTCCCCCACAGTCTTAGGCCATCACTCAGAGCTAGACGCTGTGCACAGCCAAAGTCTATCACCCCTACTCAATCACAGTTCAGTGAAACTGTTTAAAAATGCCAAAAACAAAACAAAACAAACAAACAAAAAAAAAAAACGGTGCTCGGAGAGGCAGAGAATCTGTCCGAGGACATCCAAAGAGGCGGAGAAGGAAATCTAAGTGGGAGGTTTGAAGGGACAAGTACTGGAGCTTTGGGGACTCCCTTCCCCTCAGACAGCCTCGACCCTCCGCCCCTTCCCTGCCGGCCCCCGGGCCCCTTTAACCGGGTGGCGGAAGGGGCGGCCGGGCGGGCGGCGCCCAATGGGCTGCGCGGAGCGTCACTTCCCGGCGGCGGGAGGCGAGTGGCGAGTGGCGAGTGTCGGGGGGCGGCCGGCGGGGGCGGGGCGGCCGGAGGAGGCGTTGGCAGCGGGCTCGGACCCACGCGGCGCCGCAGCCGGCCTGGCCTGCAGCGCTCCCACCCCCGGCGGCGGAGGCACGATGCCCTTTGACTTCAGGAGGTGAGTGTGGCGACCTCGGCCACTCGGGAGTCCCCTCTGCGGGCAGAGGGGCCACCCCGGCACGCGGCGGACCCCTCCCGCCCTGCATGCAAAAGCGGCCCCCAGCCCTGTGCATGCCTCGGCAGGCCCCTAGGGACCCCAGGCGAGCCCCCTGCCGCACACGAAGCCAGCCAGAGCCGCGAAGGCCCCCT